TTTTTTTTTTTTTTTTTTTTTTTGAGAGAATAAAATAGCCTAGGCTAACTTCCCCTTTTCATATATCTCCATTGTAAAATATTTTTAAAAGATGATTCAATAATAATAGGCTTAGATGTTTACTGGCTGCTCTTTTGTTTTGGTTTTTTGTTTGTTTGTTTGTTTGTTTTGAGACAGGGTCTCACTATGTAGTTGAGACTGACCTGGAATTCACTATATAGCTCAGGCTGGTCTCGAACTCACAGTAATCCTGCCTCAGCCTCCCACATGCTAGGACTACAGGCGTGTGCCACCACACTCGGCCGTGGCTGCTCTTCTTAAAGGTTTTTACGACTGTTCAAAAACAATCGTGCAGTGGAAAATCCTACATACTTTCCCACCAACTTTTTTCTGTGTTTCCTGTATTTAATAATAACATACTGCTCCTATAATGGGATGAGATGGTTTGCAAATCAGTCAAGAACAGCCTCCATATTATATCAAGAAGATATGATTTCTTCATACATTGGAAGTAAAACAAACCCGCCACCAACACCACCACTACAGCTGCCTTCTTGTACTCAGCCACCCAACCTAGAGAGCTCCTGGGACACAGGCCTGAAAAGTAACGTCCTATACCGGTACAGATCAGTGTCCTTGGTCACTCTCCCACCTGCCGCAGTCAGAACAAGGCCCAGCTCCTGCTGACAGTCATGTACGAATAAGTCGTCATCGGCGTCATCTCTTCTGTGTCCACATTAAATATCCCGGCTTCTCTTGGGTGTCTCACAGCGCACTGCCTTCCCTTCCGTCTCAGTTACAGCTACACCATCACCGCCATCCGTGACACACACCTTTCAACGCACATGCTGACTTTGGAAAGCCAGTTGAAATCAGCTGAGTTTGTGACTACCTCGTCCTGTTAAAGCTGTTTATGAAATATCCTTTGCTCTTTGATGCACTTTAGTTTGAAACTGAGCCTGTCATGCAAAGACTGTCCTTAACCTTCAGGTTAACCAAAAATGCCTTGCTATTGGAGTGACAAGCAGTTTTGACAAGCAGTGACTCCACAAATACAATGGCTTACCATGCTTTTATACTGTCTTACATCATCATTCCCTCTGTCTCTCTGGCTTGCTACTCTGCTGTCATGGTTGTCACAGATACCAAAGGCTATTAGAGTAAATGGGGCAAGGGAAGGGGGCTAGTCTTCTATTTAGCCGAAGAAACAGCAGATTTAGATTTCTTCAAGGTATTTCACTGGAACTATTCTTAATTCATAGATGAGTAAATAAATGCAGTAATTGGTTACATTTTGCTTAGATCTGTCCTCTTTAACATGGAGGCTGAAAGAAGTATCTTTAGGAAACTTTAATAATCTTTTGCCAGCATTTTAATTCCCTGTCATTTTCATGTCACTTTAACTCAAACTCTTCCCAATTTTATGAAATCACTAGCAGCTTAATTTAACACAAGGTTTGAACTCTGCACTAAATGTTTTTTAATATTTAAAAATTTACTTCAACACTTCTCACTATGTGCCTTTAGCAGTTACTGAGATAACTGATTTATTGTTTCTTTGAAATACATTGTCAGAAGAATTTGACTGCTTAGTGTAACATGGCGGACTTTTGATTTTAACAGAAGCATTTTAAAGATTACTTAAGCATCAAATATTTATCGATCAACTTAAGCATTACATGTGACCTGTTTACCTATAGTCGCGGGTGTATGTACACGTGAATTAGTTGTCACTGAAGATGACAAGCATACACCTGCATGGATTCTCCCTGTATGAGGGGACTTGTGATTAGAGTGGTGGTACCTGTGGGATACCTGGGAAGTAGATAAAACTCAAAGGTAGACTCTCACTCCCTGCCCCCTTTCCATGGAGCATATTAAGATGAGTTGCTTTCCTTGATTTTTCTCAATATAAATTTTAAGGCTTTTGTAAAAAACATAAAAGAAGCTAGGAGCTTAGAAAATGTAGGGAAAAGTTCTACCATCGATCCATCAAATATTTACTTAGAGCCTCAATACATTAAGATTATAGTACCAAATGAATTAGAGTCCATTTCCTTTGTATAAATTAAATTTTCAAACCCTTGACCTCATTATAAAAGCAGCAAGAGCATCTTAAATTGAAGCACTTGTGTAATGCCTACATGACTATATAGTTACTAAACTGTGACAGCATGAGGCAGGACCCTTTCATTTCTCCTCACAATATTTGCAGTCAGTTTCTAAAATTAATCTCTTGCATGAGCCAAATAATTTCACTTTTGTACACACCGGTGCCATAATTAGAGAATTTAGGAAGTGTAGCAAATTA